AGTATTTGCCTAATGGAAGGTTTAGAGATATGCTTATCACATCAACCATGTATATACCTTTAGTAATATAGGTCGTATTAGCATAGCTCTCATGGTGTAATGATTCAACTAGTAGTTTCTTTTAAGTCATTGTTTCCTTGTCTCCTTTCTTAAAATATTGTCTTGCAAATACAGTTCACCTACCTGAAATTGTGTTATATGATCTTCTGAGAATTTATTAATCATCAATGCAATTTAAGCTGTTCTTAACTTCATTATTGTTTCTGTTTCAAACTTCAGGGAACATTTCAATTTCTTCAGAGACACATTTCTATTAGTTGAAAATGAAAATTACCTTTCATGTCTTTTAGAACTTGCACCATGTTCTTCAACAGTATGGTCTTCCCAAATGTAACCTAAAAATTAGTGAAAGAAAAATGGATGTTATATTATTGAAAAATGTGCAAAATTATGTTACTGTATTCAGTGAACTTTAGAACTTTGATTTGTTTACCACATTCTTTTTGTATCTCAATCAAATTAAAGAAGAACACCAATAACCAAGGAACAGCTGTCCTATAATTTTTAAATGGGAAGGAAAATGAACTCTTACCTATATCATTGAGGTTCTTGTAGGTCTCCAGCATCACATCTTTGTAGAGATTCTTCTGAGAAGTATCCAGCAAAGTCCACTCTTCACAAGTGAAGTCGATATGCACATCATCATAGGTCAGGACATTCTAAAATATCACATCCATGTGTTGAACTGAATGCATGATACTGATAATATTGTACATGTATATTTCTGTAGAACATTATTTTAAAGTGTATTAATTATATGCTATAAAATATTTGTTTAATGAAGTACCTATATGTTGCTTTTGTTTATGTTGTATTATTTTAATTCTATGAAGATGTGATTCATGGCCTGAATACAACACCTGATGTTCTGATGAAGAGGTGTTTATCCAATAGTGAATTAGGAGAAAGGATATCAGGGAGAAAGCATGCATAGAAGAATAAATCTGGAAGCAATGATGAAGGAGCAGGAGAAGAAGAGGAGGATGGTAAGGGTCAGCTATCTAGCAACTCAGCAAGTCATGAAGTTTGATGGAAAGTAAGATATACATAAATGGAGAAAGGTAAAAGTCCAGAGCAAAAGGCAGATGAAATCATTTAAGTTAAGAAAAATTGGCTAGATATAAACCAAGTACAGGACA